GCAGTGCTTGGAATATTAGTAGGTGTTCACTAAGTAGTGGTGAGTGGTGTCCTCAGGATGCCAGAGCATTCCAAAGGGGTGGCACATGTGACCCTGGGCCAGGACCTGTCTTTCATTGCTGAGGGCTTTGGATGTCTTGCTGTGGCGGGGGTGCTGAGTCGGCAGGCTGGGAGGGGAAGCATTGGCGTCTGGGCGTTCTGATCCCAGCTTGAGTCTCCAGCTTTCTACCCACATCCGATTCCCCTGCCATTTGGCTGTCTCTGCTTTCCTGGACTGTGTGCTGTGGCTTTGGCTGTGCTGTTCCTTCAGCCTGGTCTGCCCTTCCCTCTGCTCTTTGCCAGCCCAGGTCCTACTCATCCTTTAAGGCCCAGCTGGGAGGTGTGTTCACTCTGGGCCATAGAGTTTTCCCGCTGAGAACTCGGTAGCTGTAGCCCACAGTCTGTCAATGGAATTGGGGCTCTGAGAGGGTTAGTCATGTGCCCCCACAGCTAGAATAGGTAGCATGGGTCCTGATCTCCCATTGTTTCTGCTCCCTGGCTTGGAGATTCTGCCCAGAGGAGCCATTTTCAGATGCAGGGTCCCTGTGGCAGGGAGGTGAGGAGAGGTGGGGTTGTGAGGAGGGGCGGGGAGAGAGGGGTCCTCCATTCAGGCCAAAAGAGGCGCTTTCTTGGAATTGCTTCCCAGAATTCATGAGGTTAAATCACTGGGCCAAAGTCACCGAGTGACAAACTTGGGTTTAAATCTAGGACTCTGAATCCCACGTTCTATATTATTTTATTTTTTGGAATTTTAAAATATACAAAAAAGAAGTTCCACATAGATGGACAATCTTACCACTCAGAAATAACCACTATTAATATCCTGGTATATATACTTCCAGTTTTTAAAGAAGAGTTACTTGTTTTTTTTTTTTTCTAAAAGTGATATAAAAGGATTTTGCTCAATGTAAATAATTTAAACCACAAAGATGAGAATTTAAAAATTATCCCAAATCCTATCATTCAGAAATTCCTATTGTTTACATTAAGTGATAATCGTTTTAGACATCTTTGTAGGGACATAGACAGATACGAAGGTAGATATTTAGACGTACTTCTATAAACAGTGATCATATTGCTGTCCAGTATGATAGCCGCTAGCTACATGTAGCTATTGGCCACTTGAAATGTACAGGTTAGAGCTGATATGTGCTGTGAGTGTAAAATACACACAAGATTTGGAAAACTTAATATGAAAAAGGAATGTAAGATCTCATTAGTATTTTAAAAATATTGATTGCATGTTGACCTGATAGTATTTTTTTTTATTTTATTTTTTGGAGGCAAGGAGTCTTCCGCTCTGGATCGCTCAGGGCTGAGGTCAAGTGGCGGGTGGGATCTTGCTCACTGCAAAGCTCCACCTTCTCTGAGGCTTCATGCCCGTTTCTCCTGCCCGGGGCTCCTGAGTAGCTGGGACCTACAGGCGCCGGCACCACTAAACGGCCTGGCTAATTTTTTGTACTTTTAGTAGGGGACGGGGTTTCACATGTAGGGCCAGGGGATGGGTCCTTCCGATCTCAACTGACCTCGAATGGATCCACCCACGCTTGGGCTCCACCAAAGTGCTGGATTGACACGGCATGAGCCGCTGTGCCTGGCCCGACCCTGATAAGTAATTTTGGTGTTATATTTGTTGCAAATAAAATGCTTGATTTTAAATTAATTCCAAATCCCTTTTTTTTTTTTCTTTCCCTTGGCGAGTTTTGCCCAGGCCTGGTCTCAAAATGATCTGCCTATCTAGGCCTCCTAGAAGTGTTGAGAAGCAATGAGCCCTGTCTTCTTTCCTTTTTATAATATGGCTATTTACAATTTTATGAATTTATAAATTTACAATTTATAAATTAAGGCCAGGCTTAGTGGCTCAATGCCTGTAATCCAGCACTTTGGGAAGCCGAGATGGGCGCGATCACCTGAGGTCAGGAGTTCAAGACCAGCCTGGCCAACATGGGCGAAACTCCATCTCGCTAAAAAATGCAAAATTAGCTGGGCATGATGGTAGGTGCCTGTAATCCAGCTACTCTGAGACTCGAGGCAGGAGAACTGCTTGAACTCAGGCGAAGTTTGCAGTGAGCCGAGATTGCGCCATTGGCACTCCAGCCTGGGCAAACAAGAATGAAACTCTGTCTCAAAACAAAACAAAACAAACAAAATTTTAAAATTATATATGTGGCTTGCATATATTTCTTATTGAACAGCACTGGTCTATTATTATAGTATTAATATATTTATTAATAAATATTAAAAGGAAAAAAGAAATGAAAATGAATTTTAGAGGATTTTTTTTTTTTTTTTTTTTTTTTGAGAATTTGGAGGATCTCCTAAACCGTCTCGTCCGCTAAGCCATCTGGAGTGCAGTGGCACGATCTCGGCTCACTGCTACCTCCGCCTCCCAGGTTCATGCCATTCTCCTGCCTCAGCTTCCCGAGTAGCTGGGATTACAGGCGCCCACCACCAGGCCTGGCTAATTTTTGTATTTTTAGTAGAGACAGGGTTTCACCATGGTTGCCAGAATGGTCTCAATCTCTTGACCTTGTGATCTGCCCGCCTTGGCCTCCCAAAGTGCTGGGATTACAGGTGTGAGCCACCACACCCTGCCTAAAGGAATTTTGAGCTCTAAATAAATGGTTCTTCATTATTTCCTGAGAGTTCACTAAAATTTAAACAAATATTTGAAAAATAGTAAAAGATTAGATTGATTTTTTTTTTTTTTTTTTTTAAAAGCACATGGTACAGTGTTTTGAAAGATAAAGGCATGGCACTCTGAAGCTCCTCCCAATTTCTGATATATGATTGTTTTTGCAATGCGTTGCTTTCTAACATTCATATTCTATTCTGTGCCTCTAATTCTTGTGGGCATTTAGTATTCTGTAAGAAACACTCAGGCCTTTGCCTCCATGTCCTTCGTTCCTAAGTCCTGGGTTTCTTTATGAGCTGGGTTTCATTTCTAGAGAAGGGCTTGTGTGTCTGGGAGGAGGCTGCTTGTTGCCTTTGTGTCTGACTGGTGTCTGGACTGGCCCCATGCAGTGGGGTCACACTTTGTACCCCAGTGCACTCTGTATGCGCCACTTCATTGTCTTCTGGCGTTGGACGCTGCTGTGGCCTTGCCTGATTTCCTCTTTTTTTTGAGTCAGAGTCCCGCTCTGTCGCCCAGGCTAGAGTGCAGTGGTGCGATCTCGGCTCACTGCAAATTTCACTCCCGGGTTCAAGTGATTCTCTTGCCTCAGCCTCCCTAGTAGCTGGGATTACAGGTGCACACCGCCATGCCTGGCTAATTTTTTTGTATTTTTAGTAGATACAGGGTTTCACCACATTGGCCAGGCTGGTCTCAAACTCCTGACCTCAGGTGATCCCCCCGCCTCAGCCTCCCAAAGTGTTGGGATTACAGGCATGAGCCACCACACCTGGCCAGATTTGCTTTTTCTTCATGGGCGTCTAATGAGTTCTTGAGTTCAGTAACTGAACTCAGCCGTGTTTTCGTGTTTCTTGACTCCCCCAGGACTCTAGGTCTTATCTCTAAAAGGTTATTTTAGGCTTCCCAGTACATAGACAGAGCACTGCTAAGACCTATAGATTCAGCAGTTTTGGGCCAATTGCTCAGAACATGTGGAAAAGGCCTTTGTTTTAGCTCTTGGCCTTTGGTGGACTTACCACCCGGAATCTTAGGGGGTCTTCAGTGATGGCTTTTTGAATTAATTTAAATTGCATATGTAACAGGTAAGTCTATTCTTTTTAGGACCAGGATGTTAAAGACAAAGCCAAAGTCCATTCTTGCCACCAACCCCAGTTGAGGTCCCCTCCCCAGCACCCCAGCTGTAACTACTATCATGGGCTTAAGATATGTCCTTCCAGACCTTTTAAAACTGATTTTATATTTTAATACAAGTATGTTCTGTCCCATCCCAGAAAAATAGACCATGCTTAGGCTGGTATATGAGTTGTTCTGGGTTTATTCAGAACAGTCTGGGGGTTGGTGTGGATTCCAAAGAGCTGCTCCTGGAGTGAACTTTTCATTCAAATTAAGCCAATACAGACATCAGCAAGTTATAACCATAAGTAGTATGCTGTCAGGAGTCAAAGCTTCATGCAAGCATTCCCAGGTATCTGTATAGTTATGACTTTTAGACAGAAGCAGATGAACACTGTTACTCTGCAAGAATACAGACTTGCGTTCAGGTCATTTTGACACAGACTCATTTTAAGATCCGGCTGTACAGACATTCCACCAGCTCCATAGAACGCAGCAAAGAGCTGGGGATTTCATCGCGCCTCTCCTGAAAATACATAACACTGGGGTTTGTGTGTGTTTTATAAAGATCATAGTGAACACCTCATAAGCCACCTTTGTTTTTTTCCTACTGAACTTGAGCTCTCTCCATGTTAATATGTATCTACTGGCAGCCAGGCACGGTGGTCATCCCGGTAATCCCAGCACTTTCGGAGGTTGAGACGGGCGGATCACCTGAGGTTAGGAGTTTGAGACCAGCCTGGCTAACGTGGTGAAACCCTGTTTCTACTAAAAATACAAAAAGTTAGCCGGGCGTGATGGCATGTGCCTGTAATCCCAGCTACTTGGGAGGCTGAGGCAGGAGAATCACCTGAACCTGGGAGATGGAGGTTGCGGTGAGCTGAGATTGTGCCACTGCACTCCAGCCTGAGCAACAAGAGCAAAACTCCGTCTCAAAAAAAAAAAGTATCTACTGGCAAAGAAACGACTGAGTGCTTGAGTCAGCAGCTATTTGAGTACATGCTACTGGAACATTCTTTAAATGAACTGAATTCACTATGAGGTGGTGTCCACTTAGACCCTGTGAAGGCTATGATGTTCCAGAAGGGCCTTGCTGGGGGCCTGGAGCCTCGGGGTGTGGTGGTTCTGGAGTCCTTTGAGTTGGAGGGGGGTGCTACATGCATTCCTTGCTCCCACTTTGTTCTCACTTTGTTTGGCTTCTCACTTTGTTTTTGTAGATGACATGGCAGAACTTCTCCTCGGGGAGTCGAAGCTGGAGCAGTACCTGAAGGAACACCCCCTGAGGCAGGGGGCCAGTCCCCGAGGCCCCAAGCCCCAGCTGACTGAGGTCCGCAAGCATCTGACCGCCGCCCTGGACCGAGGGAACCTTAAGGTACCATGGCCTCTGGGCTGAGGCGACACTTCCTCACCTGCACACCGCCGTGGCTTATCTTCTTAGAAGCGGGCCAGCTCCCAGTTGGGTGGATGTGCCAGTCTCTAGGATGGTTGACCACTGCGGGGGCTTCTGGGCCAACAGGGTCTCTCTAATGAGAGTCTTCAATGACACGCCATCTGCACAATGCCACTTATCTCTCAGATGCTTGAACTAAAGCTATCCGATATAACCCAGAGCTTAACCTGACATGTTACCCAGTTCTAGAAAAGAGAGAAGTTAATCAGAAGGGGTGCTCAGCGCACAGCTTCCTGCTCATCAGTGTAACAAGCCACTGTGGCCCAGAGCTGTGGGAGGTTCCATACTGGTGCCAGCAGGCCTGGCGTCACGGTTGGGAGGTGGCCAGGAACTTCCCCGCATCTCAGCAAAGACCCTCACCCTCTGGCACAGGGAATCTTAGGCGCTGCCCCCTATCTGTCCATTCTGTTTTCTGGTCTCATTGCACCCAGGTTTCCTTTCCCTGTCACGTGGCTTTCCTTCCTTTCTTCTTGGACTCCTCATTCAGTTCCTTTTGCTTTTCATGGGGGTCATCTCCTCTTCCCGCCCTGCCCTTCTGCCCCCTGGGTGGCTCACACTCCCCTGGCTCTAGACACTTCCCCTAGTTCAGATGGCTGTCTGCGGCCTGCGCCATCCTGCCCCTCTTCCCCAGGATGTATTTCCCACTGAGGACAGTCTTTGGTGAACTTCTGGAGCTCTGACTTCTGTTTCCTCTTAACTTTGATGACTTCTTTCTCATTTTTCTTCTCTTCCTGTCTTGGAATCCTGTGAGGCTCCGTGTTTGGTCTTTGTTCTTGTTTGCGTGTGCACGCTTTCCCATGGGAAGCCATGCTTTCTTTGCCTTTACCTTTCATAGCTGTACTGCAAACTCAAGCCTGCTCCCGACTTGCTGTGTGACTCCAGGGAGGTTACTTGCCTCTCTGCAGCTCAGTTCCTTTAGGTTTGAATGGGGTGGGCTCTTAAAGGGGTGAGCTTGGATCTTCCCGGCTCCTGCATGTTCTAAGCCTGTGAGCTTTCAATTTGAGCTGTTCCTCCTCTTGGTCATCTGGCCACTTCCTTGGCCCTGTTGCAATGGAGGGCCTGGGCAACCTTTGAGTAAGTTAGTATTGGTGTTGGTCAGTTGTGCAGCAACAGGCTTTTGGAAACCCTGATAGAGAGCTGCTTTCAAAATGGTCTCTGTGTATGTTGTCTGCACGGGACACAGCTCCAGGCTGCTAGGAGGTGGCTGGAGAGTGTCACCTCAACATAGGGACCCAGCCCCAGGCCCCCAGGGGGTGGCCGGAGAGGTCGCCTCAGCGTAGGGATCCCAGGTACTTAAGGACTCCCTGCTGCATTTGGGCTTCAAAAACCAGGTCTTCTCTTTCCCCGTTCAGTTTCTCTGTAAGGGCCATGCCACACTTTGGTGTGTGGCAGATCACTTGAGGCTAGGAGTTCAATACCAGCCTGGCCAACATGGCGAAACCCCGTCTCCATCTCATATGTTGTTTTTTTTTGATACGGAGTCTTGCTCTGTCGCCCAGGCTGGAGTGCAGTGGCATAATTTCGGCTCACTGCGAGCTCCACCTCCCGGGTTCATGCCATTCTCCTGGCTCAGCCTCCCAAGTAGCTGGGACTACAGAGACCCGCCACCACACCCGGCTAATTTTTTGTATTTTTAGTAGAGACGGGGTTTCACCATGTTAGCCAGGATGGTCTCAATCTCCTCACCTTGTGATCCACCCGCCCTGGCCTCCCAAAGTGCTGGGATTACAGGCGTGAGCCACCGCGCCCGGCCTCATCTCATATGTTCTTAACCAATGACATGATGACACAGGTGGACACAAGGGTAGGTCTTGATCTGGGGACACAGGTGGTAGGTCTTGATCAGCAGGAGAGGGTGGAGGGACAGCAGGCACATGGGCCACAGCTCACAGTGATGGCCAGCCAGACTCAAGTGTCCTGCTGAGAGGTGTGAGGGGAGATATCTGGCTCATTTCTTTCCCCCGTCTACCCGCCCCCCAACTTCATGTTGAAAAATTCACCTTTCATTTCACCAGGTGTTGATAGGTTTTGCTTTCCATCCTCTACAACGCTGTGTGGTAGTAAGCACATTGAATTTATTTTATTATTTATTTATTTATTTATTTTTTGAGACAGAGTGTTGTTCTGTCGCCCAGATGCCATCTCAGCTCACTGCAACCTCCACCTCCCAGGTTCAAGCAATTCTTCTGCCTCAGCCTCCCGAGTAGCTGTGACTACAGGTGTGTGCCGCCACACCTGGCTAATTTTTGTGTTTTTAGTGGAGATGGGGTTTCACCATGTTGGCCAGACTGGTCTCGAACTCCTGACCTTAGGTGATCTGCCTACGTCGGCCTGTAATCCCTCTGAAAGTGCTGGGATTACAGGCCTGGGCCACTGCACGAAGCTGTTGAATTTAATTCAAGTTAAAATTCTTGAGTCTGAGTCCAGTTCTAGATTTGTAGGCTGTGTGATTTTGGGATGTTACTTAACCTCTCTGAGCTTCATGTTTCTCAGCTGCAGGCCTGCTTAGCCCAGGATTGTTTTGAGGCTCAAATGGAGAAATTCTTTCAAAGCTGTGTAGCACTAGATACACATCATTTCTTGCTATGTTATTAGTTCTACCTAGAGAGTTTTTTTCTCCCATTGCTGTTTTTCACCTTCCTCCATCTTATAAAGAATGTTTCAAAGCCACAAATCTTTTGCATGGGTGTGCTGTCCTACTCACACTGACTAATGTGAAACTTTCTCTTTCCTTGAGCTTAAGTCCAGCTTGTCTTAAGTGAATTGAGGCTGGGAAGACCAGAGCCAGCCAGCCATGTGGTGGGATGGAAAGAGTCCTGGACAAGGAGTCAGGACATCTGGCTTCTGATTCAAGGCAAGAAAATGGCCCCTGACACCGTGTTGGGGTTGTTCTCCCACTGCCCCAGCAGCCGAGGCGCCCTGGCCAAACCGTTTCCTGTGCTTGGGTGCAGATTGGACTCGCCCAGGGAGGCTCTCCCAGTGTGTCCAAACTGTGCCTCTAGGCTTGCAATTTTCTTCAAGCTTTTTCTCCGCCTGGCTCTCCAGTTTGCTTTCATTTGTTTTTTTTTTTCTCCTTTGGTAAAATATACATAACATACAACCTAATGTTATAGCTCTTTGTAGGTGTACAGTATAGTGGCATTAAGTATGTTATCGTTGTCACCACCCTCCATCTCCAGGACTCATCTTCCCAAACTGAGCCTCTTGTGATGTATCCATTAATGCTAACTCCTCATTCCCCCTCCTCCTTCAATTCACCTTTAATCCAGCGGTTCTCAGAGGCTGGAAGCTTGGGGAAGGAGGAAAGACTTCCCAGAATGTCCTAGGAAATGTGTTCAAAATACCCAAGCCTGGCCCGTCCGCCACCCAGGTGGAGAACCCCTGTGGTGGATGCTTTTTTTTTTGAGACAGAGTCTCGCTGTGTCATCCAGGCTGGAGTGCAGTGGCATGATCTCGGCTCACTGCAGCCTCCGCCTCCCGGGTTCAAGCGATTCTTCTGCCTCAGCCTCCTGAGTAGCTGGGATTACAGGTGTGCACCACCACGCCCCACTAATGTTTGTATTTTTAGTAGAGATGGGGTTTCACCATGTTGGCCAGGCTGGTCACGGACTTCTGGCATCAAATGATCTGCCTGCCTCAGCCTCCCAAAGTGCTGGGATTATAGGTGTGAGCCACCGCACGCGGCCTGGATGCTTTTTTTCTCTTTTCTGAGTCTGTTTTGATTTCTCCGTCTCCAGATGTAATTCTAATTCCTCTGGTGCCTCTCCCTTGGGCCCCCCATAAACACCTTTGCTCCTATCAGTCCTCCTTGCCCACTCCACCGTCCTTTCCAATGCTGCCTGATGTCCCTCTCTCTTCCAAGAAATGCCTAGAAGCTGACCACGTTGGCTGAGATAGCTGCTGTAACACGCTGTGCCTGGCTACCTGGCCTTGTTGTCCACCCATCAAAGCTCTAGGTTACAGTATAAATAGTGTGGTTTCATGGTGTGCTTCCGTAAGCAAAAACCTCAGCTTTGAACCGCTTGGGCTCTGAGGAGAAGGTCTGGCCAAGGAAGATAAATCTGTTTCCTTATATAGGTGGCAGGGTGGCCTGTTCTCTCCCTAGGTGCTAGGGGACGGGTCAGGAAGGAGGGTAATGATGAGGCTTTGGGGAGTAGGGGACTGGCCAGGTCAGCCTCACTGACTGGGAGGAAGGGGGGCCCACAGAGAACTTCCAGCCTTCAGCCTCTGGGGAGGGTACCAGGTCACCTCAGTTTAGAAACTTCAGTGGCTCAGTGAGAAACTTCGCCCTGGAAAGCAAGCAAGTCCTAATCTTCACATCCATTTGGGAAGGCCCTCCTTGATGATTTGGGTTACAGGGTTGTGGTGCATCTCCACTGCCATGGCCGGCTCACCAGGATGTCTGGGCCGCTTCTTTTCTGAGACAGGTGCTTGTATGTTTAACTTATGAAGCATTCCTTCCTTCCTTGGCCCAGCCGGCCCACCCAGCCATGGGCCTGGTGAGGGGAGCCGCAGGGTTTGGTTTTGGTTTGGTTTTTGCAACAGCTTTCTTGAAGTGTAATTCACATACCATACAACTCACCCATTCAGAGTGTCCACTTCAGCGATTTTTAGTATATTCATGAAGTTGTGCAACCATCACCACAATCAATTCTAGAACATTTTCATCACCTTCCAAAGAAACCCATCGTCATTAGCAGCCACCTCCCATTCCTAGCCAAGACGAATCTGTTTTCTGACTGTAGATTTGACTATCCTGGACATCTCATACACATGGAAGCATACAATATGTGCCCTTTTGTGACTGGATTTTTCACTTGGCATCATGTTTTTGGGGTTCGTCTATGTTGTAGCACATAACAGTACTTCATTCTTTACTACAACTGAGTAATATTCCATTTTATGGCTAGCCCACGTTTTGGTGGACATTTGGGTTGTTTCCACTGTTTGGCTATTGTGGATAACACTGACGTCCAAACTCTTGTGTGGGGACATTCACGTCCAAACTCTTGTGTGGGGAGCTGTGGGGTTTTACGGCGGCAGCTGGCTGGGCTCCGAGGGAGCATCATGCCTGATATTGTAGGAAAATGCTTTTCTTTCTCTCCTTTCCCTTCTAGTCAGAATTCCTACAAGAATCCAATCTGATCATGGCCAAGTTGAATTATGTGGAAGGTGATTATAAAGAAGCTCTGAACATTTATGCCCGGGTGGGCCTGGACGACCTGCCGCTGACAGCTGCCCCGCCCTACAGGCTGCGGGTGATCGCAGAAGCCTATGCTACCAAAGGTGAGGCCCGTGCCTTCTAACACAGTATCCCATGCCCTGGAGCCAGCAGCGCCTCTTGGGAGCCGCCTGTTTGACCCCTGGCCCTTGGCTGGTGATGAACCTGGCAGCTCCCAGCAAGGCTGCTGGGGCCATCCTGCAGCACGTGCTGGGTCATGCTAAGCCCAGCAGGGGTTTGTTCCTCCGAGCCAGTGGCCATCAGCTGTCACTGAAGGGGATGAAGGAAAAACATTTCAGCAAAGTTTCTTTCTTTCTTTCTTTTTGAGATGGAGGTTTGCTCTTGTTGCCCAGGCTGGAGTGCAATGGCGCGATCTTGGCCCACCGCAACCTCCACCTCCCGGGTGTAAGTGATTCTCCTGCCTCAACCTCCCGAGTAGCTGGGATTAAAGGCATGTGCCACCATGCCCGGCTAATTTTGTATTTTTAATAGACAGGGGGTTTCTCCATGTTGGTCAGGCTGGTCTCGAACTCCTGACGCCAGGTGATCCACCCACCTCAGCCTCCCAAAGTGCTGGGATTACAGGCGTGAGCCACCGTGCCTGGCTTCAGCAAAGTTTCTTGATAAGTAATATGCAACTTCAGCGGGGGCCTGCCTTGGTAATTAAAATCCTGCACAGCATATAGGGATTCATATCATATGGTCAGTTGGCCACATGGCTGATGATGTTTTTATTCATAAATGCCACCTCTGGGTTAATTAAGGCTAATCAGTTGCCACACAACAATCACTAGCAATCAGTCCTCTCTTAGTTAACTGTGTACCTATTCAGGGACAAGAAGAACGCGTAAATATCTCACTGCCATGAAGCAGTTTGCACTCTAGTGTGAGATAATGCAGTCTCATGGGAAGAAAAAGTATGGAAGCACAGGACACACAGACGACGGGACCGTTCCAAACTGCCTCTTCCTCAATCTATAATGGGCATAATCACACCGACTTCATGGGGCTATTAGGAGGATTAAGCCAAATAGTGTATGTAAAGCATTTAATGTAGTACCTGGCAAGTTCTAAATGCTGCATAAGTGATATTTTAAAATCTCTACCAGGTGCAGTAGCTCACGCCTGTAATCCCAGCACTTTGGGAGGCCAAGGCGGGAGGATCACCGGAGGTCAGGAGTTCGAGACCAGCCTGGCCAACATGGCGAAACCCCGTCTCTACTGAAAGTACAAAAATTAGCCGGGTGTGGTGGCAGGCGCCTGTAATCCCAGCTACTCAGGAGGCTGAGGCAGGAGAATTGCTTGAACCCGGGAGACAGAGATTGCAGTGAGCTGAGATCACGCCATTGCACTCCAGCCTGGGTGACAAGAGCGAGACTCCATCTCAAAAAAATTTAAAAAATAAAAATAAAACCTCAACCCCAAACAGGGCAGCAAATGGTAAAAGCTAGGGATGGGTAATATGGGGAGGTCACTTCAGGCCAGCAGGGCCAGGAAGGCTTTCTAGAGCAAGAGGACACTTTGAATGGGACTTCTTAAGGCCATGGCAAGAAGTGGACTATCTGGAGTGGCTCCTGTCCTCCTGGCCATCTGCTGTTCAAACCAAGTGCCGTGACTGACTGTGGCTGGCAGAGGCCAGGGCCCTGGGTGGCTTGTCCCTCCAGCACAGTCATGAGCTGGCCATTGTGTGCTGCCAGCACTTTCTGGCTGAGATGAGGGGGCTACAGGTGGTCCAGCCTGTCTGACTCAGTTGTCTTATGCAATGTTGAACAAAGACCCAGCCCGGGGCACACTTGTTAAGAGCTTTGTGATGGGAATGATGTATTCACCCAGTTCCCTGGGGACCCTTGAGTACTGCCAGGCTCCTCTAATTCTAAACATCCCCGTGGGCTCGGAAATAATGCCGTTGCTCTCGACAGGGCACTCTGGCAGTTTAATGGGCACGCCCCTTTGAGGCTGCCTCTGGGGTCCTGACAGCGTTTGGCTTTGTTTGCATCTGTCTGAGCTGTAGGGAATGCTGGGGTCTGTGCCACACAGCCACGTTCTTCTCTCCCTGGTGCTCACCCATCTACCTCACGTGCATCAGGAGCTGTGTGTGTGTGTGGCCAGCAACAGTATTCCGGAAGGAGAGCAAAGCATCATCTGGCAATTTCCACCTGCCCAACTGCCCTGGGGCTGGTGGGTGGAACCAGGAGTTGGCTTGCTATTTGGGGGTGGGAGGTGGCTTTGGGGCCTGCCCAGTACCCAGAGCCTACATCCTAGCACTGGTTCTGAGATAGTTTAATGGAGGTAGGCTGTCTACAGGTGGCACTGCCAGCTCAGTCTTGTGTCTGCCATGAAAGGTGGGCAAGGAGGACAGGCGACTTGGGCCCTGAGCCTGGCCCTGGGTGATATGTGGTCACCCTACCCATGAGGTTGTGGCATTGGCTCTTGGGACACTTGCTGGCTCACGGGAGACCTGGGTCTGGCTAGTTTCTGACTTCCGTGAGTGTAGGTAGAGTCACATGTGTACCGGGAGAGGGAAGGGTCACTTCTGCCTAGAGGAAGTGGCCAGCAGCCTGGGGGCTCCAGGCCCTGGAGAGCCTGGTGGGCCAGGCGAGAGGCAGTGTAGAGGGACAGTTTTGAGCACCGGCCCTGACCATCTGCCTGGGTCCTACTCTGTGTGTCACATGCTGGCTCTGGGGCCTTGTCCAAGTTCCCTAGGCTCTCTCTGCCCCTGTTTCCCCGCCCATCAAGCTCTCATTGGCTTGTCACAGGACTGCGTGAGAGAGCACACATGAAATTCTTCTACAGCGCCGGCACATAGTGAGCACGATGTAAATGTCAGCTGAAGCTGAGTGTTGGGTGGGCCGTGAGGGACTGGAAGTGACTTGTACTAACAGGGCAATTTTGGGCCCAATTCATGGAGATGCCCAGAGACAGGCCTGCTCTCTGAGGAGTTCAAGAGGCCCTTGGTCCTAGCTCTGTGTAGGAATATTCTTGGCTCTCTTTCTTCACCAAGGTCCCTGAGGATTTTTAAGGGGAGGCTGCTGCCAGGGGGTTCTCTGAATGTTGGTCCCTCCCCTATCTGCACACGCTCTAGGCAGCGGGATTGACCTACACACTTTCTTTGTCACCTCAACTTCTCCCTGGTGACCTGAGGTCTGAGTTGGTCAGGGTTTTCAGATAGAGTCCCTTCCCCTAGCCAGCCAGCGTTAGCCTTTGCTGATTGGGAATCGGAAGACTGTATGGTTCAGCTCCCAGAATGTCCTATGGGCCAGCACTATGTTAGGGAATTTCCTGTCTCTTTAACTCTCCAAACCCCAAATCTACTGAAGAGAGAAATGAGAGGAGGTAAGGTTATGCAGAAGTGTAGCAGTGGCCATGGTGTACTGAAAGATTCCTGCGCGCCGGATGTGGTGCCCTTTATCCCAGTATCTCATTCACTCTTTTTTTTTTTTTTTTTAAAACGGAGTCTCACTCTGTCACCTGGGCTGGAGTGCAATGGCGCAATCTGGGCCCACTGCAACCTCCGCTTCCCAGGTTCAAGTGATTCTTCTGCCTCAGCCTCCCAAGTAGCTGGGATTACAGGTGTGCACCATTACACCTGGCTAATTTTTTTTATTTTTTAGTAGAGACAGGGTTTCACCATGTTGGCCAGGCTGGTCTCGAACTCCTGATCTCGGGTGATCTGCCCACCTCGGCCTCCCAAAGTGTTGGGATTATAGGTGTGAGCCACCGCGCCCAGCCTTCATTCATTCTTTACCACCACCTATGAGGTAAACACCATTGTTCTTTCCATTTTACAGAAAAGAAAGCTGGGGCACAGAGAGGTTAGGTAAACCTGCCCAGGGCCCTACAGCTAGGAAGTGGTCGAGCCAGGACTTGACCTCAGAGACTGGCTCTAGGGTCCGTGTTCTCCTCCAAGTGGCAGAATGGGGTCTCAGTCTGACGCCCATGTTCCTAATTGCTCTCTTTTGTTGGCATATGGACTGGAACTCAGCTAGGCCAGGTAAGGTTTCTTCAGGGAGAAAACATTCAGGTCACTCGAGAATACCCTAGATTTGTACTCCCGCCCTTGGTTCCTCTACTTTAATGCCTCACCCTTGCCGGGTTTCCTCTTGTAAGTTCTGTCCTTCAAGCTCATATTGCTGTCTTCTCTGAAGCCCCCTGGGACCCACCCATTCAGAGTCAATCATATTTGATGCTGTCATAGCACAGTACATTAGAATTATGTAAGAAACGACTGGAGTTGTATGCATGCTCACTTAGGCGTTCTTGTCTTGCCAATCTAGCATTCCTAGAAGAAGGTCATCTACCAGTTACACTCCGCCATTTTGCCCCTTAGTGCGCATGCTTGCGCCCACTCGCCCAATTCCTGAGAACTTGTTGGGAAGCTGCTGATCACCAATTTCGAGTTTCTTGTATCTGCTGGGAGGCTGCTTTTTCCTGATGCAGGCTGCTACCAATTATTATTTTAGAGAAACAGTTAACAACTGCCTGACCATCACCTGATGGTCACCTGACATTTCTGGGGGGTGTGTGTGTCGCGGGGAGCCCTCTCCTGCTCTGCTCGTGCCTGACTGGCTGCCTCCTATAACAGGGCTGTTTGGCTTTCTCAGCATTTTCTGTGACTTTCTTTTCTGCGTACACAGAGGAAAGTAAGCACCTATCTCTGCTTTATAAACAGAAACATAATTAATAGAAGAGACAAAATGAACAGTTCCCTTTTTAGTAAAACAAAATTTTAAAACTGGAAATTTAAAAATTTTAAAAGTGGGGCCTGGAAACAGCAGGGGAGTTAACTTCCTTTCCAGATCGCATGGCACCAAAGCAGAGGGCTGGCTCTAGAGAGTAAATGGGGCCTGCACAATCATCTCCCATGCAGACATTTTATTTCCCAGTAGGGGAGACTGTGCCAGAGAGGAGAAGGGACTTGCCCTATGCCACACAATCCAGGGCAGGACCAAGATGTGGGGATGTTTCTTGGTAGGAAATTTTTCCATCAAGCTGAGTGACCTCTGTGCCCAGGTGGAAGAGGCGGCACCATGTCGGGCGCTTTACAGAGCTCCTTTACCTTCTCCAT